GGCTTGCTGAAATTAGAGACATATTGTGCACTTGCCAGTTGCATACATTCAGAACTCAAATGAGGACCTCCACAAAACTCACAGAAAGTGGCATGGAAGACTACATTAGCATTTACAAGATTACCCATCGCCTTAGTCAGTGCATCTATCTTTGCGTTCATGGCACTTAGTTCATTGACTTCATACATCGCAGCAAGCTTCTTGGAAACACTTCTTGGGTTCGACCATTGATTCCTATTCTTTGCCATAGTTTGAAACAATTCATAGGCATCATCAATTGACTTATCCATTAATGAACCTCTAGCTGCAGCATCCACATTGTTTCTTTCAAAGTCTGTCAATCCTTAATAGAAAGTCTGAACTAGAGTACTTTTCTCAATACCATGGTGAAGATATCTTCGTTGCAATTCCTTGAATCTTGTCCATGCAGCATGAAATGTCTTATCATCTTCTTGAATAAACTCAGTAATTTGATTTCTCAATTTTGCTGCCTTATGTGGTGGGAAGAAATTAATCAGGAATTCCTTGTACAGCTCATCCCAAGTTGTGATGGAATCAGGATCGCAAGTATTCAACCAATTCTTCGCTTCTCCCCTCAATGAAAAAGGGAAAAGTCTCAGCCGCATTGCATCTGACGTCACACCATTTATCTTTACAGTATCACAGATCTCTAAAAAGTTGTCAATATGCACATTTGGATCCTCATTGTTGAAACCGGAGAATTGATTCTGCTGCACCATCTGGATCAATGCTGGCTTGAGCTCAAAGGTACTCAAAACAATGGTAGGCCGAGTAATACTTGACCTAGCAACATTCTCCGTAGGTGTGAAGTAATCCCTCAGTGTCCGAGTGTTTACTCTGTCGCCCATGGTTTCACTCTGATTCTTTTCCTTTCTTAGTTTTGCTTCTTTTCTGTTCGCACGAGCTGTTCTTTCTATCTCTGGATCAAATTGCAAAGTCTCAGAATTAGCACTTCGCGTATAAAAAGAAGGCAAAAATATTTGACAGAAAGTAAAATAAAATAAAAATCTAAACTAATAAAAGAAAGTAATCTAAATTCGATATCAGCTGCCTTCCCCGGCAACGGCGCCAAATTTGACAAGCTGTCGTCAGAACTAATCAAATAAATTTACCTACTTAACACTAATATAGCGGAAAATAGGGTCGTACCCACAGAGAAGGAATACTAATTACCAGGTATAAATTACTCCTATTATTATCTAGATAAATGATGATATCAGGTTTATAAAATTTAAAACTAAAATAAATAAATAAGATAAAAGCAAATAATATTAATTCAAATAATCAGACAAAGAAAACCTAGGACATTGGGTTCACCTACCGAATATTTGGTTTAGTTCAATTCATAACTATTTGACTTTTAACCTCCATTAATCTCACAACGATTCACCTAATTAAGAACTATTCACCATCGTGATATAACTCTCTTACTCTAATTAATCCTATGACTACTGTCGTGACTATAGGAAATAACTAGAGTATATTAAGAACTTAAGAATCTAACGTTGCAAAGGTTGTGTTCCTACTGTCGTGGTTCACTACCTAAGTCTAATATTCCCATGAACTAATATTAATTTTCAACTATCGTTCCATCAATTAATATCTTTAAACATGGAATTAGTGGCCAGTTACAAACATGGAATAAAAGCAAGAATATCAAATATTGATCAATGGAAAAATCAAAGTATCATGAATCAAATAAACCAAATAAATCCGGTGGCTACACCCAAGCCCTAGATTAAAAAAATTTAGTCACTAAACATTATCAAAAATAATTCAACAATATTTAGAGACATAATCCAAAAATCTGAAATTAAATAAATAAAACTCTAAAACCCGAATGAAGAATAAGGCTGCCGAATTGAAGACTTGAAGTCCATGGCTGCTGCTTGCTTTCTCTTCGGCTTCGGTGGCTCTGCGTGGCAGAGGACTTGGCTGCTGGTGATGATGACGAGAGGTGATGATGGTGATTAATGGTGGTGCTGCGTGGCAGAGTCAAGGAAGAAACAAGGAGGTTTTGCTGCGTGTGTGCGTTTGGTGGTTTGTGGTGTGAAGGAGCAAGGTGGTCTCGGCAGTGGAGAGCTTCGTGGGGATGAAGGCAAGGTGGTGATGCTGCCGATGAAGGAGAAGAGAGATGGTGGTTTGCTTCGGTGGTGAGAAGGTGGCTGCGTGGAGGAGAAGAAGAATTGCAGCTGCGGAGGAAGTTTTGCAGCGGCAAGGTGGCTGCGTGGATGTGGAGAAGATGGTGGATATCGGCGGAGGAAAAAGAAAACGTAGGGTTTTTTTCGGTCCAGTTCGGTTCAGTCCTGTTATAAAAATAAATCCCTAATCCTCCTTTTATATACTTCCGTCAAAATCCTATTTCTTGGAGAGGAAGAAAACTTATTTTTCAAATAATATTGGGATTAAAATTCTTACCCAAATTCAATCCCAAATCAGCTGCAAGTCATTGTTTTTCGGCCAATTTCCATAAACCAAACATTCCGAAATTGCTTGTTTAATCCTCCAATTTTTCAAGTACTTCAATTTCTTCCTTGTCAATTGATTGAATCTTCAATTCTTCTTTTAAGTTGCTTTTATCTTCATTTTAGCCCAAAATTTCAACAATTCCTCCAATTGAGTACAATTCCTCAATCAAATATAAAATCACATAAATAGCATATTTGTACTCAAAATATTGGTAAAATTTCACATAAAGAGATATTAAAATAGGTAAATTATGAGCACATCAGCAATGTATATATTGTTGTGTTACTTGCTCAACTCTCACTTGATAGTCACCTCTTCTCCATAATAACATGATTCTGCCCTTGTTCTGACCTTCCTGATTTCCAATATACTCATACTGGTTCCATTTCCTATTCAATAATACCTCCATACTCTCCTTATTTAGTTTAACTTCCAGCAATCCTGCAATACCAACATTATTGATAGAGAGACTGTTTCCAATCTCTCTATGTTTCAGGGGACTATTTAGTCCCCTTACATTCCATGATATGATGTTATTCATGACTACTAAACCCTTTATCAGGGTGACTAGTATTAGAATAGCAAATCACATTCACAGATCTTTGTTTGTCATTCAACCTTCCTTCAGTTATCCTTATTCCTTTCTGGTTAAGGATTTTGATTTGTTCATCATTTTCCACTGCTTGCTTCTATTTTACAGGACTCATCTTTCTAGGGCTCTGAGAATTATCTCTTATTACAACTCCTTTTTGTCTACCATTTTCAGCATGTTGCTTCTCTGTTCTTAATACCTTTGTTGAGGATAGTTTTACTTTCTCCTTCCCTTTATCCCCCTTTACTTGCTGCAATGCAGAGTTTAAACTTCTTTGTTCCACTGGTATCTCCTTCCAGTTCTTGATCACTGGACATCTACATTCAATAGTAGTATGACCATATCCCTTGCAGTTGCTGCACTTCACTGGTTCCCATTCAAACTTGACTTTATGTTCCTTAGATTCACCTACCTCATTCTCAAACCATACAGACTCCTTGACATTATCCCTTATTTCCACCTCAACTAGCACCCTAGCAAATGTAGTTCTTTGCTTTTGTGTTGTCAGATCATCCATTTCAACTGGAATTCCAATTATACTAGCCAGTTTTCTTAGTATGGATTCATTCTAATACCTTAAAGGCAGTTTGGGAAACTGAATCCACACTAGAACCTTTTTTATATCTGCCATACTTAGTTCATAAGTCACAGACCAGGATTTCACAATCAATGACCTTCGATCAAACTGATAAAGTTTCGTACTCAGCACTGTATCCTTTGCTGCCTCTATTTTGAATCGGGCAATATACACACCACTTTCCAATAAAAACACCTTATCTACCCCAAATTTGCCTCAAATACGTCCGATATAGCCATTCATGACAGCAAAGGGAGGGTTCGCACCAAGCACAGAGCATAAGATTGATGGTTTCCACTACTCAATTTCCGATTGTACCTCTTCCTTAGTAATTTTGCTTATTTCACAATCATTAATTACTTGAGGCGCAATAAAACGTCGCTTCTTCTCTTGAACATGAAGTTTCTTCGGATCAAAGTTACTTCATGCATGATCAATTTTAGGTTCCCCCATCCCCAAATCACTCAAATTCTTTTTCTCCTCAGCTCCCAATGCATTTCCCACAGGTAAGACTCGTTGATTGCACAAATTTTCTAGCATTAAATGCTCTTCAGAAGAGGTATTTATGGAAGAATTAGGGTTTCGTACCTTATCAGTTTGATTGTTGTCATTCATACTTCTGTCTCCATCAAGCGACGGTAATTGCTCTTCCTTTTCTGTATTCTCACCTTTCTTCTTCGATCTCTTCGTCATTGTAGAATGCAGACCGATCGTCAAAGAGATCGCCGGATTTGAGTCGCACACAGTAGAGCGCGGAATCGCACCTAGTGAGAGAAGAAAGCGTAACTGCGCTATAATCTTTGAGTCTTGGATGGTACGGAAGTAACAGAACCCTTCTTTTCTCTAACCTTTCCCTAAGCCTTAAAATTTCACACCAAAAAAAAAAGCATGCATGATTTTAGTCTGTAGACCAAATAAGTAAGTAAAATCAAAACATTAACATCAGAAGAACAAAAGTGCCTAAGACATAAACTAGCGCAAAATCGCAATACGACCGAATCTAGTTAAATTCTGGATCGCTGCCGTCAACATGAACATGAGTTGATGGGAGATCTGATAAGGGTTTGACCCTCAGATGTTAGGCACATGGCCTGCAGCAGGTTCGCCTTTTTTTTTTTATATATATATATAACCCTCGTGATGCTTGAGATCATAAGGAACCGCCTTACCGTTGATGAACGGTTCACATCCATAATCCTTATTTTTTACATCCAAGTACGAATCTGCAAGAACCTGACGCACCCTTGGCAGTTCTTTGATTTTGTGAGAGAGCTCTTCGGATACTAGGGCTCCGAATGCGAAATAATGTTTGGAAACCGAATAGATTTTCATCCTGGCTTCTTATTCACTTCCGATGATATAGCTTTCGATTATCTGATCTCTGGACCAACTTTTGTCCAGCTCCTCCACGACTACCAACCAGTGCTCAAAATCACAACCAGGGATTAAAAGGATTTCCTCCGGCCATAGAGAACGATTTTGAACGTTATTGACCAGCGAGTGGCAGCAGCGACGGGCGAAACCAAATCGTGCGCTCCCTACCACTGTCGACTGCGGCTTCAGCATTGAAACTGAGATCGGCGACTTGAAAGAACGTGCAAAGAGAGGATTATAGGTTTCACTTGACAAATTGAGTAGAGAAGGGCTAGCAAAGATTTGAGTAGCCATTGAATTTCTTCACCGGGACCGATCGGCGGCTCCGTGAAGTTTAGGATATCGGGGAGGATAGGAATGATAGAGGACGTCGAAAAAATTAGGGTTCCACTTTCGGCGGCTCTCTTTGCTCTCTTTTTCTTTTTCTTTTTTTTTTTTTTTCAGTAAACATTTTTAAAGAAAATCATGATAATGGAAATGCTGAAATGGAGAACTACTTTCTCCCGGATCCTTATTCTAAGGTATATCGATTTGTCTCAAATCATTTAGTATGTTTTTACAATTAAAAGTAAAATTTAAAATATATTTAATAATTAAGAAAATATAATAAATGTGAAAATATATTTTTAATTTTATAACATCATAACATAACATGTATGAATAAAGGTTTGTTAATCTGGAAGTTGTGTCGTGATCATTCTGGATTTCCTTGGGATTCTGGGTATCGCTAAGTTATCATGGATGAGCCGGTAGGCTTCCATCAAGTTAGAACGTAACTATGGTATGAGTTCGGTAAAGCTAATTTTTCGACAAATTATATGGTATCGTTAGCAATTATTTGGACGGGAGACTTGCAGTAGTTCGACAAAAACATCTCGTTCACGAATTGGAGCCAAATCAACAAATCTTACTCCAATTAGACTTCTTGTGGAGTTACATTTGAAGCAGTTTCCATATTCCATTAATTCCCAAACGTTTTTCTTGGTGAACACTTTACGTGGTGAGAATTTCAGAAAATGAAAAAAAAAAAAAATGGCCGAGACGGCGGCAATAGTTCCAGTTAGATTAACCTTTTTGTATTTTTATTTTTGGTACACCTGTTAGATTAATTTTTAAACAGTGGGTCAATCTTACTTAATCAAAATCTAATAAAATATCCTAGACCCCAATATTAAAATTGGACCTTCCAGACCAACCACAGTGGGCTCAAAATCATTTTCGAATCCAAAAAGTATCAATATACTGTATACTCTTTCGTCCTATAACACAAAACACATTTAATAAAATTGTTCGAATTATTTTATGTCCATACCAGAAAAATAATAGTAACAAATAGTAATTATTAAAAAAAAATAGAGTTGGAACCTGGGAAACAAAATTATTAAAATAAGAATTTCCGTTTTCCGGTTGAAGGATAGGAAGCGTTGGGGGAAGAGAATTCGTGTTTCCTTTCCCTGTTTGAAACGGTAATTACGAACAATTCTCTCTATATATACAAGGCAAAAGACGATGTCTTGGTTAATTGAGTCTGTGTCTGGTTAGCTATAGGGAGTCTAGAGTTAACTGAAAACAGAGAGGCTTTCCAAAAATGGGTAGAAGCGGATTTATTCGCCGCCGGTCACCAAGTCCGACATCTCGATCTCGATCTCGATCGAGACATCATTACTCTACTCTGACGACGGAATCGTACCATCACATTCGGGAACAAAGCCGTAGTCGGAGTCGGAGTCGGAGTCAGAGTCGTAGCGGGACGAGGTTCTATCATTCTCGTGCTCTGTTCCACCCTGAATCATCAAGAAATTACTCTGACGATTATGATCTTCGGAGACTGATTTCGAGTCGAACCCACAACGATGATTACCGATATGACAGGCCAAAGTACGATCACAATTCCGATCACCACGAGCCAGCGCCGTCGAATTTCTACCGTTATGATCGTGTCGACCATGAATGTAATAATAGACGTGATGGTTATTATCGGAGAAGAAGCTATCGTCCACCAAGTCTAAGAGAGCCCAGAAATTTCTCCAATCCAAGGCAATTAGACCCGGAACCATCAAATCACGGTTACCGCCGGAGGTACCATCCATATTCTGATCGGAATCACTGGAACGAGAATAACCCACCCCGGCCCAAGCCTATTTCCGATTACAATCACCGGAGGTCGCAACGGCGGTGGAGTGATCGGAATCAGCAGACACCTCGCCGGAGCAGAACAATTCATTCTAATCATCGTTGCAATCTTAGTCACCAGGATCAGCAACAGTATTACGAAAGCAGAACAAGAAGAAGGAGAAGCCACGGTCCAGCTCCATGTGAACAATTGTCCTCCTCATTCAGGCGACATGACAATCGGAGAATCCCCGCCCCAAACACAACCACCACCGTCAATCCTCATCCGCCGTCGGAATTCGACCGGATAATCAATAGTCCTAGTTATTCCGACGATGTGAGTTGTGAGCTTAGCCCAGGTCCTGGATTAGACGATTTCAACTACAGTCCACCTTTTTCTCCAAGTCCGTGCCCAAGCGCCCTGAACTCGCCTTACTATGACCCGAATTGTCCTCGGAGCTGCAGTCCGGTTTTCGAGAATAGTCCCGACACTAGTCCCCGTAGCTCTCCCGGCCCGGCGGCCGCCCCTACACTAGGGTAATAAAGTGTCACACTAATTTTTAAGAAGTGTGAAGATAATTTAGCGATTGACGAAATCTTTGGTGTGTTTACATGAATTTGTAAGTACTTGGGAGGAGATTTTCCAGTGGGTTTTGGACGATGTACGGAGTCGTCTATCACGTTTAACTTGTTTTGATGTATTTTGTTGTCGTAGATCGACAAATATTGTCCCTCACGAGTTGGCTTTCTTCGAATAGAATAGTTCATCAATATTTGTAACGTGGTTTAATCCACCTTTCTTTTGTCAAACGAAGTTGGGATTTTCCCAACAATCTTAATAAATTTTATTTTATTTTCAAAAAAGAAAATGTTATTGGACGTAAGAACTTCAACAAAAAGTATCATATATTTTCCCTCTTCTATTCGACAACTAGGAGCCAGTGCTTAATTATAATCACATCAAACTTCAGACTCATACGGCTGCTTCTCCTGGGAACGATTGGGATCCACTTTTGTATGTGAATAAAGTGTGGTTAGCCAAGAATCGAGAAGCCATTATATTTCTTCACGTTAGACCAATCGGCTCATGATGATGATCAGGGTAGGGAAGAAGAGGAGAGGACTAATTTGAGGCCAATAAATTAGATTTGCGGTTGACGAAGAATGCACCAGTTTGTCTCGTAGTATCGTGTAGGCCTGGCAGTTGGATGGGTTGGGTCAGCCGTGAGTTGGGTCAAGGTGGGTTTAGGAGTAGACGGGTCAAGACCCAACCCAACCCGCCATAAGTGCGGGTCAAGACGGGTTGGTGCGGGTCATGGATAGTGGATCAGCCTGCTCAAGTTAAGTCAGTATAAATTTTTGATCCGCAGGTTGACTCATACGGGTTGACCCGCAGGTCATAGCTTATTTTTTTAGTTTTTATTGGGTTAATTTACAAATTTTAAATTTTTTGGAAAAATAAGATACATTCATTTTTAAAATTAAAATTTTCTAATTTAAATTACATTTTAAAACACTTAGGATTTTAAATTTTCACGTGTCAAGTCAAGTTTAACTGGGTCCGTCCGTGAGTTGAGCTGGGTCGACCTAGTAATCGGGTCACGATTCGCAGGTCGAATTTAGATTTTGTTTCAAATAAAATCTACATTTATTTTGAAAAACTCGTTGGAATTTAAATTTTCATGTTTCGGGCGAACTTTTAACTGGGTCGGCATGTGGGTCGAACTGGGTCGACCCAGCAACCGGGACATAATATATTGGTCGAATTAGCATTTTTTTCAAATAAAATCTATATTTATTTTTTAAAACTCGTTGGACTTTAAATTTTCACGTGTCGAGCCAAGTTTAACTGGTTTGACCCGTGGGTCGAACTGGGTCACGATACGCTGGTCGAATTGGGATTTTTTTTCAAATAAAATATATATTTATTTTTAAAAATTCGTTAGACTTTATATTTTCATGTTTCGAGCCAAGTTTAACTCGGCCAACCCAAGAAACGGATCACCATACGCTTGTCGAATTGAGATTTTTTTCAAATAAAATTTGTATTTATTTTTTAAAACTCGTTGGACTTTAGATTTTCATGTTTTGGGCGAAGTTTAACTGGTTCGACCCGTGGATCGAACTGGATCGACCCAGGAACCGAGTCACGATACGCGGGTCAAATTTTGATTTTTTTTAAATAAAATCTACATTTATTTTTTACAACTCGTTAGACTTTAAATTTTCACGCTTCGACTCAAGTTTAACTGGGTCGACCGGTAGGTCGAACTGGGTCGACCCATGAAACGTGTCACAATATGCGGGTCGAATTTGGATTTTGTTTCAAATAAAATCTACATTTATTTTTTATAACTCGTTTGACTTTAAATTTTTTTTTCGTTTTGAAATATAACTTAGACTTCCATTTTCTAATTTATTGGAGTTATAAAAATCCATTTCACGACGTTTTTTTATTGGATCAATTCGTAGATTATATTAGATCTACCCAATTAATGATAAGCAGGTTAAACATAATGTTACCACTATTATGAACTTATTTCGTTGGCTCATAAATTAGATTAGATGCAATAAAACTTTATAAAATGAAAATAGTACATTTTGAAAAAGATTTTTTTACTGGGAGGTTACTAAACGCCCTAAAAATTTCCCTTGAGCGCTCTAATTAAATACCAAATGACCATTTTGCCCTTACATGATTTTATAAATTAAGAGTTTCAATTTCATTCTTTCAATTCCTAAATCAATCTTTCATTTCAAATTCTCTCAATCCAAACTCTAAAAAACTTAGATTCAATGGCTGATCGAATGAAACGGCTACGTAAAGAGCTACGGAAACTGAAGGTATGTAAATTTGGATTGTTTTTTTGAATTAGAAATATGTAGGAGTATTTAAAAAAAAAAAAAACCACCATCTTCGCCACTCCTTACAGAGCTGGCGCAGATCTGCACGCCCCGGCGCGGTTCTCCCTCGCCGGCCGGGGCGGTGGTGGCGCCATTTTCTTCGCCGCCGGACGCTGGGGTGGCGAGAAAAGTCTCGCTAGGTGGCTAGCGCCTGGCAAGATTTATTGGCGCCGGTTTATTTTTATTTAATAATTTGTTATATTATATATTTAAATTTAATTGTTATTTATAAATTATATAGTAATTGTAATTTAATTGTTACTATTAGTAATTATAGGTCTTATGAAATTTAGTTTAATTATTTATTCTTAGTTAAATTTATTAGTTTAATTTATTTAGGAAACACTATTATTAAAAGTATATGTTTAATCTTCAGTAAATAAATTAGTTATAATACTTTTATAATTTTAGGAATTCAATTGTAGTTTTAGGGAGTTTAACGATTTTTAAATTAATTTGAATCATTATGAAAGTTATTATAATTAATATAATTATAGAAAATATATTTATTGGATTAGTCGGTTTAATTGTAATTAGCCTCAAAAAAAATCAAACGTAGAAATTAAATACTTAGTATAGGAAAATTAAATAAATAAGTTCAAATTAAAAAAATACAAGAGGTTAGTAGATAATTAGGGTTAATAAAAAATATTTATTTAATTATGGTTAAAATTAAATAATAAATTATATATTTATTTAATTTTGGTTAAAAAATGAAAAAATAAATATGTAGATATTATTAATTGTACTTAGTAGATTTAATAAATTGTACACTTAAGATGTATAGTAGATAATTTTATAATTAGGTATTTAAATAATATAAAACTGTATTAAACTAATTAATCTAAGTTACGTGTAAAATTTGAAACTTTTGTAGGATGAGATATCGCCTCTTGAGGGATCTGGACATCGGCATGCAGTTACGCGCAATCTGTATGCCGAACATCGAGCAGAAAAAGAAAAAAAGTTAAAGAAAGTGAAAATGTACATCCTACGTTTGGCCCACTTGGTGAGTCAGCCAACGTAGACGATGATGATCATTTTGAGGGGAGATGAATAAGCAGAGGATAGTTTTGAGAGTAGGGGGGACGATGTGGATGAGGAGGATGACACATCCGAGTATTCCTCGCCTGAGAGGAGAGATATACATATTGGAGATAACTCAGTACTGAACCCCATTGGTCGTACTGATGATCAGACTCCAGTTCACCCTACCCGGGGGGGAGGGGGGGAAGTCCCTTGTTGGATTATCGGCCCTGAATTCAGCTTACACTCCTGGTGATTCCAGTGTTCGTGTCGGCCCACAGAGTACTCTTTTTAGAGGTCACAGTACTACTCTTCAGCATGCAGGCCCGCAGAGTACTATTTTTAGAGGTCCCCCTCTGACTACTCAGCCTCGTTCCCATTTTGGTGGCGCATCCATTGGTGCCTCTATCCATCCTGAGGCAGCTGCATCGTCATCAGGTACGTATTTGTAACAATTTCAGCATTCATTACTGTTTGGTCAATTTCTTAATTGCATTCGATTAAGTATTTATACACTATTATTTATTCGGGTTTCAGGTACTAGCAGACGGTCTAAGTTTTCTACCCAAGAAACTGATGATTGGGTTGTGACGAACGACGTACCTGGCGGGCCATGTGATGGGTCAGTGATTCCTAGTTTTCTTGGCCACACTGCTTATCAGTTGTGGAATGGAGAACCAAGAGATTACCTGACAATGAAGCCAGCGAAGAAGAGTTTGTCTAGATTGCATGGATGGTATGCGAGGTTGCCGGAGAACGCACAGTTGCAGATTCAGAATACCGGTTTGTATCATCTGATTGATACCATGTATGATGACATTGACCTTGCGCTTATTTCTGCATTCATAGAGAGGTGGCAGCCCGACACAAACTCTTTCCACTTGCCGTTTGGGGAGATGACCATTATGATGCATGATGTGACACACATTTTGGCGATTCCACTTGATGGTTACTTGTTGACCCAACCTGCGGAAGCTGAAATTTTGAAGATGCAGGTCGTGGGATTGCTTAGGATGCCGTTGGCTGAGTTAAAGCATGCATGGAGCCACGGAGGTGTGAGCGACATATTGATTAAGGAGTGTTCTTGCAGGGTCCTCCCCGCTGTTCAGGTGCAAGCTTGGGTGTAGATCTTGTTAGCCTCGACACTCTTCCTTGATAGGAGTGGGGGCAGGATCAGTGCTTCGCTTATGAATGAGCTGCATGGAGGTATCGACAATATTGCAGAGTACTCCTAGGGACCCGCTACACTAGCATTCCTCTATGTCAGCTTGGGATTGCTAGTCGTGCAGGGTGTACCACGATGGCTGGTTGTATGACCCTTCTCCAGGCATGGATATATAAGTATTTTCCATGCTTCCAGCCCTCCAAGAGGCGGGGACGTCGAGGTTTTGATGGTTGGCCCAGAGCCCGAGACTGGAGACCAGTTAGCTATAAGGGCCCGAAACCTATTCATAGTCGTCTCCAGCAGATTCGTACGTAGCTCGATGCGATGACTGAGCAAGAGGTAGTCTTTATATTTTATTTCTGTGTATTGCGTAAGGGTTATTTCATTGTATACACTATAATAAATGTTGCTAACGTTCGCAAGTCGAATGGGAGCCATTTGGTCGCGAACAGGCGGCAGCATATCCGAGGACCATCTTCAGTGGGTGGATTATGTACCACGACTTCTAGGAGCCATACATGCCGGAGAGAGTGTTACGCCAGCTCGGTTACGTGCAGTACATACCTCGTGCTCCGCTCACGTCGGTCACTCAGTTTCGCGGGAAAAATGCGCACAAGTATTTTGTTGATCGTCCAATTGCCGAGGCCTATAACTATTGGGTTAGATTTCCAGAGTCGGAGTGCATCAGCCTCAGTCATTGTGTGCTGGTATCGTCTACTGAGGTAGGACAGACAGCTATAGATTACCTTGACTGGTACAGGAGCCATTCACATCCATTTCTACTGCCGGAGTCCGTACCGTCTACATCACGCATCCCAGGGAAGAACTGCACCACTTACGTAAGTTCAACTCTAACTGGAATACCCTTTTTTTTAATAACACACGTACTATCTTTAAGGGTTTAATATGGTTTTATTTAACATTTGAAGTGGATGCGTGAGATGGAGAGGTTGACTCGAGGTTGCATCGACGATTTGAAGAAACTCGATCTGGGTCTTGATGAGGAGTGGGATACTCGCCTGGATGATGTCATCTTCCGACATAGTCAGGCCCCATGACATTCTACTCAGTGCTTTTTCCTTTAAACAATTATGTAACGACTCTGTTTTTGTGAACAGTATGTACTTATGTTGATTTTCAATTTAAGTTTTCATTTATGTGAACATTTAGGTAAAGAGATCATAAAATTTCACCAATTGCATAAAAAAAAATTTATACACAACATATCACCCGAGATCACAAAATTCCCGTGTGGGTCTTATCGGAGGTACCAAAGTACGCCATAGCTGAAGTCTGGGTTCAAAAGGTATTTCCCAACCAATAACACTACTATCACGATCATGCCGCCAAAAGGTACTTAATAAGCTCTTTTACTTCTGCACTCAATGGCCTCCTGACTCGAGGTGGATCTTTCAATGAATGGTTGTGCATTCCCAACGGACCTGGATATACACGGATCGCCCACCTATCATATATCTTGTAAATAGTAACACGAAACTGGCATCCGGTCATCTGTGTCTTTGTATTGGCTCGGACGTGCAGGTTTTCATCCACCTGTTGACCTCGGTACCGCCCTCCTTTATGACAAAGGAGTATAGTACTATTATCCTTGTGCGAGGATACACTTAACTCCATATTGTAGATGTTCGCAATACCCTTCGCATATGCAACAGCTTCATTGTTCGTTGCAAAAGTCTCGTCTGTAGCAAAAGCCGGACTATAATCGACTCCATCCCCCTGATCAAACCTATCATGCACACATCAAAAACAAATTATATCATAACTTAAATTAACTCTAACATTGTTAAACCACAAATAATTTGCTATGAGTAAACAGAATATATAATCCGATATAATGATCTTATATTTTAAAGATAATTAATATATACTAACAAAAAAATTAAAAACATTATTAACAAAAACTCATTATTTTAACAAAAATCCTAATCCCTACCACCTATACCCATTAACATACTACCTAAACACCCATTTAACAAGAAACAAACTATTTCTTACGAACATACTACATAATTAACATAATTAAAACATAGAATAGTTTAAATACATTATTAACAAGATATTAACTCATTTAATATAACAATATACGTAATTAAAAAACATTCTCTAAATATCATAAACCTAATTAGCATAAACCCTAATTTTCTAAATAAATATTAAACTACCAAACAAATACTCAAATAAAATAAATACATGAATTAATTATATTTATTAAACTAATAATAATATTTATTAAACTAATAAATATTAAATATATTAAAAAATTAAATAAAAAATTAAATAAAAAAAATGGGTGGCGCCCAAACGGGCGCCCACCATCGGGTGGTTGGCGAGCATTTGCTCGCCAACCCGGACAAAGGTGGCACCAAATCTGGCGCCACCGCCTTCGCCATCGCCTCCTAAACGGAGGCGAGTTTATTGCACGCCACCCCCATAGGGGTGGCGTGCTTCTCCTGCGCCAGCCGTTAATGGCTGGCGCGGTCCTCCCTCGTCCCCCCCCCCCTTTTTCGGAAAAAAAACTTACCTCCATTTTGTAGGGGCGTGTCGGTCTTTCGCGGGCGCTCAAATGAAATAATAAGGGCGTTCAACAGTTCAACTCTTTTTTTAACCAAAATAAAAAATAAAAAATCAAAAAACCACACTTCTTTTTGGGCCCAGTTTTCCCCCCACAACCACTTTCCACCACCTAAACCCCCCTATAAGCTCTTCCGCCCCACCCCCGCCCCAACAGTCACTATCCGCCACCCAAACTTCCGATAAACTCCTTCTCCACTTATCCCCTTCCCAAACAGCTATATTCAAAGTGAGATTTTCTAATACTTATTATTTTTATTTTTTGATACTTCTAGAGCAAATGAACCGCAAACTTTTCTTGGTGGGTTTTAGGATCAAATGGTTTCAAAACATAAATTTGTGAAAGAAAAATGGTTTGTTCTCATTTGATTGTAGTCTTGCAGATCTGGACGACAACGGTTGTTACAAACAATGGAGGAGAAGAAGGAAATAAGGCAATCGATTACTGTTCTGTAAATTCTATCTTCGATCTCCTTAACCCGTTTCGACCCGTGGGTTGAGCCAACCCAACCCAACCCAACCCGTCTTTTACAAACCCATCTTAACCCGTGACCCATCCTAACTCGCAACCCATTTAACCCAACCCGCAGGGGTCAAAACAACACGTGGGTTGGGTCAACCCATGGGTCGCGGGTCAGATTTACCAGGCCTAATATCGTGTATCAAATGCCTAAATTTATGATACACATATCGTATCGTTTATCATATTGTAAGACACGTTTTAATATAACAATATGTATAAAATAAATAATAAATATTATAAATCCAATATGTAAATGACATATATATATATATAGTTTTTTAATTTTTCAGTTATAAACCAAAAAATTAATTAAGTTACACAAATTAGTATTTTCAAAGATTATTTGAGAGTTACACAAATTACTCATTCATTACATGAATAATGGTCATAAAACCTATGCAATAAGTATTATTTTTCATAATAGTTGTTATTATAGCCAAAAATTTAAAAGTGAGAAAATTAATTTTTTTTTTTCGGTAAGTTGGTAAACTTGTATTAATCACACAAAGATATTTACAAATACATATTGTCCTGTTTCCCTATACATAAGCACTTTGCCATTTTCCATCTACGTACACACCTTCTGCTACAGTAACTTTTTTCAATGCTGCTGATGAGAATCATGTAGTCTTCCATGGTGATTCTCCTAGTGAGGGAAATGAGCTAGTCCTTCATTCTAATTTTGGAATGCCAAGTTTACTTTGCAGTTGATAATGGTTTATTTGTTACATAAAAGTATCACAATTAACTCTGAATTTAGTAAGAAATTAGGGAGTATGTCCTATTATAGTGCATTCTACTTAACTAGTTTTCGTGTGTTTTTTTTTAGGTTGGGGTTTGATTGAACAATTGCTGAAAAATTGAGGCCAAAAGAACAAATTGTGGGCTGCTGAGGCAATGTTTGCTGAGCTGGACGAAGAAGCACCTCCCTAGACAAGAAGCATCTTGCCATTAATGAGTATGTCTCTCATTTGAACTTCAAGAAGCATGTTTGTCCCTCAGCTGAAATTCCAGCCACCCCTGCTGATCAATGAGAGCAACGCTACCACTACTAGAAGAAGAGAAGAAGACCAGTCAAGTTTGGATTCCAGGCACAAGGCATAGGGAGGATAAAACAATTCACAAGCATGGGAGGCTCTCATGATTAAAAAGAACAGGCTGGAAGGCTCTATAAAAGGGGGAACTTCACTCTGAGAAGAGGGAGGAAGATATCTCTGGTTACCCTTTCAGTTGCAAAAACACACACAGAAAAACTCCAGGAAGAAGGCAAGAAGGAAGAAGGAGCAACACCCACTCAGTAAGGAAGCCAAGTGAAGAACAGCCATCCCAGTTTCTGCTTCAGTTCCATGAGTGAACCCCTTCACTCTCAGGAGTGGCTCAGAACTGCACAAGCTTTTTTCTCGTCTCTTGACTGTTAGCTTGAATTTCTTTTATTATGCATACTTCTATGATTTTTTTGATGTAGTAGATGTAGCATTAATCTGTATGAGTAGCTAAGCAGCTTCCACGGGTTATTCTCCTCAACCTATGTTGTAGTTGTTTAATGCAGTGGTTTTGTTCCTTGTTTTGAAGTTGAAATTTTTTCTACATTCATTTACTTGATCACTAAATTGAATGCATGCTAGAATTAAGGGAGATCTGGAAGGATAAACTTGGTTTGGATTGTTTCAACTTTAACTTATGACATAGAGGTAACAGTCTATGGTTTTAACTAAGATAGGTATATACTTAGTTAACATAAGCATTCTTGAAGGCCTAAGAACTTAATGACTTTGTATCTGGAATCAATCATTGGAAAATAGATTGTTAAGGTTGCAAAGATGACTCTAGGAAAAATGGGAACTGACTTAGAGTTATAAGTGAGCTGAATGAACAAGAACTCAACCATTACAGTGCTAAATAACAACTACAGTAGTAGGAAGAGGAGATGAACACCCCTGGCTTCATTCCCCTGAGTGACTGTTTCCATTCCCCTGAGTGACACCTTGTCTGACTGGTAATCTTTTTTACAACAAATTTTGTGATTAGCTATCCTCTTGGGATCGACCTAGCTTCCATTGTCTACAAAATTCATAATCGAAGCTAGTAATATTTTTGGTGAACTCGGCACGAACCAGAAAGTGGCGCCATTGCCGGGGACGGCGTAAAAACCTCCAAAAATTTGTTGTTTTTGTTTGTTTGTACATATATAAAATTCTTCTCTGGTTACCTCACTAAGCTTCCAATTTGTTTTCTTTGGTGTATGACTAGAAGGCACCAACGGAGTGAACCTGTTTTTGACCCAGAAATTGAAGCTACCATACGCAGAACCAGAGCAGCAAGAAGAAGGCAGAACCGGTTGCAACAGGACAACCAAGAAGGTTCATCAGAAATGACTAACCAAGGTGCTAACCCGGAGAACAATAGGAACCCTGGTGGGGATCAACAAAATCGACCAGAGAGACTGCTTAGAGATTTCTTCATCCCACAACAAGAAGAAGTCCAATCCTCTTTGGTGTTCCCTGATGTAGAGGCAACCAATTTCGAGCTAAAGCCACAGATGATCTAGTGGACTCAATCAGCCTGCCCATTCCATGGATTACCTCATGAAGATCCTAATGATCACATCCGAAGTTTCTTGCATTTATGCAGTGCTTAAAATTCAAGGCTTATCTAATGATGACATTAGACTGAGGTTATTCCCTTTTACTTTGCAGGATCACGCCCAAGCGTGGTTCAACACATCACCCAACAACTCTATCTCCACTTGGGAAGAGTTAAGACAGTGTTTCCTAACAAAATTCTTTCCACCCGCAAAAGCTGCACAACTCAGAACGGCAATAATGAACTTCAAGCAGCATGGAACAGAAACACTCTATGAAGCATGGGAAAGACTGAAGGAAATGGTCAGAAAATGCCCTCAGCATGGTTTGGAAGAGCATCTCCAACTGAGCATCTTCTACA